ACTAGCATAGGTTCAGTATACTCTTTTAGATTCTTGAATATTTACTTCACCATTTCCATTTACTTGAACCTTGGAAAAAGACTTAACTGTGGTAAATCTTTCTTTTCTGCTATATAGCAAACCAATTTTGTTACCCTAAAAGATCTGAGGGAGGAATGCAAGATGAATCTGGAGATGCTTAATGGCATGCCTATGGAGAAGCACTAGGGTGCTGTTTTCTTTTTTTGCCTGACATTCTGGTGGTTGTGGGCCGTGTGGTTAGTCACTAATGCTGTCCATATTTGTGCTTTTGAACTTCTCGCTATGGATAGGGTAGCTGTATTAGAAATTTGGAATGCATGTAAAATAATCCAATTCTGTTTCTGAATAACCCTATCTTCATCTTTGCTTCTCGGCTTTCATGTATATTTTTAGCTACTTGAACGATTTTTTTGTAGTTTAGTTTAGTAGCTTACCAGATCTTGCTGAATTAGGTGATATGATAAATGATTTAGGGTTATCTTAAAAATAGAAAGAATATCATATTATCAAATCATGTAACTTGCCATGGCAAGTTCTTTAGAAATAATTACTAGTTACTCCATCTACTATTTATTTTACGTACAGAATTCGTGGCTGCCTTGAATTAGATAGGGATATTTGATACATGTGCTATATTGATACAGGTAACTTGTTTGAACTTGTTCTTTTGAGATTCTACTCTTGTCGTAGGCAAATTGAGATTGTGCATAATATGTATTAGGGGTGTTTCAAAAACTTGGTTTGATTGATTAAATGGACCAAGTTTAGGCCTTTTGCAAGAACTCGTTTAGGTCGAATCAATTTGATTATAATAATACCCCCAGTTTGGCATTGCATTAAGGCTTGTGTGGATCTATGCTTCAGTTGTAATGTCAATTCATGGATATAGACATCCACAATGCACTAGAATTCTACTTCATGTAATTATGTAATTTATTTTAGGTGAGGAAATGCATAGGGAAATGCATAGGGAAATGCGGTTGTGGGTGTAAGCCGGCCGTTGCATCTTCTTCTATTGATTATCGTGCGCCACATTCATCTTTAGTGGGTGATATACGAGTTGACATTGTTTTAAAAGTCAACTTGGAAATTTTTAATATTATCCAATTACACGACTTATTTAGCACGATCATTGTCTTGTTATTTTTTTTTTAATATCTTGAATCTCTTTACCTGCCAAAAATTCTTTAATTATTTTAGTAATATATTTTAATTCATTTGTATTATTGGCATTATTATTAGTTGGTGATGACTGTTTGTTTATATACTATTCATTTTGAATAACAATGTTGATTCTCTAACGAAATTATCTGTCTGATAACTTCGATGGGTTATTTTAATCTACTTATTAATTCCATATTGAGAATTGTTTTATTTTATATAGATAACCTAATTAATTAGTTGATAGAATTGAGTTCTCCTTTCTCAATTGTCTTGGTGGAAAAATAATAAAAGAAAAGGTTCTCTTGTAGGTTGGATTTGAAAAATTGTTCATGTTATAATGAGACAGAGTCAATATCAATGAGTTGTGTATATATATATATATATATATATATAGCCTTTATTTTATGAAAGGAACCATGGAATTTGTGGGGAATGGTATTTCTTTGAAAAAGAGAGGGTAATATAGGCAAGTGATGGGATTGGGATGCACTGATGATGGGTTAAATACTAACCGCGGTTCATTTTTGTAAGAGAAAGAAAATTATTGAAGGGCCACAGTGAAGTTGACTCTTGAGCTCATCCTCGAGTGCAGAAAATGAGTTATTCATACCATTTTAGTGATGCGTTGGCGATTGCATTGGCTTGGTTTTTACGCAGACAATTGAGAGGAAGGCCCACGCGTTGGTGTCTGTGTTTGACTCTACCAAATTAAATGGGTATTGTATTGAATTGCGTGGTCAACCCAAATTCCTTTCCCCGCCTCTCTCTCTCTCTCTCTCTCTCAAATTCTGATACATCCCCCAATTCTAATTCTAATTCTGAGTTTCTGCGCCGCAATGCCATTTTGTCGTTATGTTCCACGTCCCTAGATGCTCACACGTGGATGCATTTCATTGAGAAGTGCGCCTCGAATCACGTTATCTTCAAGTTGACGAGAAATTTGGGGTTGGAGAGGTAAACAAAAAAAAAAAAATGGTGCCTCCCTCCATCTGCTGAGTGAAACAGCCTGCCCTGCCCTGCCCTGCCCTGCTTTGGGGCTCTATATAAACACACACACAACCCCCCTCGCTATTTGCAAGGCGAACTTGACACTAGAGAGCCTATACCTTACAGGGTTTTCCTAATTGCTCTCGTCTTTTCTTTTTCCTTTGCTCCCCTTCTCTGCTCTCCCCGCTTCTCTGTGTTCCCCTTTCTGTCATCGTCTGTTCTTTTTTTCTTTTTAAGATTTATGTTTTGGACTTTAAGTTCGTTTTGTTTCGATTGGCCTTGAGGGTGGTTTTTTGAGTCTCTCAGGTTCGTTGTTTTTGTGTTCTGGTTTCCGTAAGTCTTCTAGTTTCTTTTCTTGACATGGCAGCAGCTTTGGATTTTTACACTGGAATTTCAGCGCCGGTTTACTCTTCGGATCCTTTTTTCGAAGAGTTAATGAAAGCACTTAAACCTTTTATGAAAAGTGCTGTTTCATCCTCTTCTTCTTCTTCTGTTTCTTATCAGCCTAATGTGAACCCTGATTTTCGCTCCCCGTCGACCATCCGCTTGTTTCCTCAAGCGTGTTCGGGGATTGAACAAGTGGGTCTCGAGCAATCGGGTCCAATCGGGCTAAACAATCCGACTCCTTCACAAGTTCTCCAAATTCAAGCTCAAATCCAACTACCCTCACAAACTATGTCTTCCTTCCCTTCTTCTTTTTCATTCCAGTCTCGAGTTTCGTCCCAATACCATAGCATCCTTGCCCCAAAATCCATCCCGATGAAGCACACCGGCTCTCCGACTAAGCCCACTAGAGTCTACAGGGGAATCCGGCAGCGCCACTGGGGAAAATGGGTCGCCGAAATCAGACTCCCCAAGAACCGAACCAGACTCTGGCTTGGCACTTTCGACACGGCCGAGGAGGCGGCTTTAGCCTATGACAAAGCTGCTTATAAGCTCCGTGGCGACTTGGCTCGCCTCAATTTTCCACATCTCAAACACCAATTCGGGGACTTCGAGCCTCTTCACTCTTCTGTGGACGCGAAACTTCAAGCAATTTGTCAAAGCTTGAAACAGGGGGAAACAGAGAAGTCACCGAGCGCTCCACCTCCATCTGAATCAAACTCAGTGGTTGACAAATTTAAGGAAGCGGAATTGAAAATCGAAGCGGAGACTTCGTCTTCGTCTTCATCTTCATCTTCATCTTCATCTTCATGGTCATCTCCTTCGCTGTGTGAAGATTTCTCCACCGAGTCCTCCCCTGAGTCGAGTATTAGCTTCTTGGATTTCTCAGATTCGCAATGGGGTGAAGGAGAAGCATTCTGTTTGGAAAAGTATCCTTCCGTTGAAATTGATTGGGCAGCTCTGAATCAGCTGGGCGAATCAGAGTGTTTAATTAGTAATATTTCAATGTAATTTGTGGTTTAATTTTGATGGTGTCTAGTCTGTCCCAAGATTCTGCAATGAAGTTTTAGGCATTTGCAGAGGTCTTGTGTTGGTGAAAGTTGTCTGTGATAGTTAGTTGTAATTCCATAGTGGTGTGCAGGTTCTTTTTTCTTCCCTTGCATCGCCATTTTAGTTATGGGTCCTTTTCTTTTTCGTCTTTTGGGTGGTTCCTGTTGAGTTAATTGCACTTTGAATGCAAATAATGGCGTCTTTATAGTCTCTTCTGATCTGATAGCTTCAGAGAATTTTATGTGGGTCTGGAGATTGATTTTGAGCGTTAAACAATCCTTTGAAATTAAGAGAAATTGTGCGCTGGAGTGAATTAGGGAGTGATGTGCATGCATATTAGAAAAAACAAAAATAAATACAAAGATGAGACAAGGGAGTTGCGTGGAGTGGGAGACAAAGGGAAGAGGGAGAGCATCCACTTGTTTAGAAACCAGTGGGCGCTCCACACCCCGTTTTCATAAACATGGGGATTGGCCGAGTGCTTTAGTTGTTTAGGGTTTAGGGTAGGAAAATTGTTGTTTCCTCGTCTCTTAAGGAGCTAGTGTTCTTGTTAGCATATCGTCCAGTGTCTAGCTCGCTTTGGAAGAGATTTACAAACTTTTATTTCACAGTTCCCCTTTGGAGGATCAGCGTTCTCGTTGACGCACCACTCCGTGTCTGGCTTTTATATTATTAGTAAGTCCCCTTAGAGTCCCAGCGTCCACACTCGCACATTGCCCTGTGTCGGGTTCTAATATCATTAGTAACAATTCAAACCCACCGCTAGTAAATATGGTTCGCTTTGACCCATTGCATATCATTATAAGCCTCACGTTTTTAGAAAACGTCTATTTCGTTCCCATATTCGACCAATGTTAGATCTTACAAACACGCCCAACAAGAGAGGGCACAGCGTGAATCTCATGGACTACAGACAACAATGGGCCATCACCGGCCCAAAAACAGACCTCTAGTTTTGATATAAGTAAACCTATAGCCCTCTAGATTTCCGTGCCTACTTTCACTTTCTTGTCGTGGGATGCGCATTAGGAGGAGTTGGATTTTATTCGGAGACCGTGGGAATAAGAATGAATGCTGCATTTGATCTACAATATTAATATTCTCCGTTTAATAAATATCAAAACTTTGGTTTAAGAATTAATTTTGAAATAAATCATATGAAATTTATTGTAATTAAGCTGACCTGGACATTACTAGGAAGGCCCGTCTGAAAAATTATGCCTCGTTTTCACCGCATGGTAATGAAATTGTCATGAACGTTTGGTTCATAAATACTTTATTTTTGTACCTTTTCTACCATGTACCTAATTCATTTAGTTGTATAATAATAGAGGTTGTTTTCTCATTATCCAAATCATTTTTATTATTTTTATTAATAATCTTCTTGTAGCTACTCTGATGAGAAGAGTAGAGATTTAGAAAACCACGTCATACACACTGGGATCTGGGCGAACCCCACAATAGTCCACAACAGCGGTGAGGCTGTAGGGCTCATGGTCAGTGGCAAGCCACTGGTTCACCGAGAAGCGCTGCTTGTGGCAAGGATGGCCTGGGGCAGAGGCCGTGACCTCGACGTAGTCACAGTACCAAGCGTGGTAGGGACCGGAGCCATTGGAGGTCAAATTGAGAGAGCAAATAGGGGACGTGAGGCAAGGCCCTCTGCCAGTGAAGATATCCAATCTCCCGGTCTCAAAGAAGTTATAATCTGGACCCATAATTCCACCCCATTCCTCCAAATTAGGCACCCAAATCCCCTCCCCAGACGCCGTCTTCACCTCCAGGCCGATGGTTGAGTGCGTGCCGGCCTTCTTCACCGTCCCTGTTTGGACATAGATCAAGTAACCGCACTCCCCGCCCTGCACCATTTCAAATCAAAACACACTTGGTTAATTTTATTCAACGCTTTAGAGAGGGCGGAGGATGGTGGTGTTCTTACATCTACAGCCTCCGGCACGGCGGCGGTGGAGAGTAGGAGGAGGTGCGCGAGGATAAGAAACGGGAGTGCAGATTTGGACGCCATTTTTCTGCCTTGCCATACTCTTTTTCACATGCTTCACTATATATAGAAATTCACAAGTGGCATAAGTGGTTGCCACGTCATCGGTTGAATATAGTCACGTGCTGATTTCCAATTTGGATTATCTCGAGTAAGAAAATAAATTTGAGTTTATTTTTCAAAAAATAGTTGAAATTATTCTCTCATATAAAATAAATAGATTATGACGTGGCATTGTGAGGTCCAACCACGTTTATTTTCGCGTTTCATAAGGATAAGGAAATCTATATGCCGTTTATATCCAATCAAAGGCTTCCACGTCACAACCTTTATCTACCTCAAAGAGGGCGTGATGGGTTGTTGCTACTGGACTACAGTACTCAATGACATGGGCTTTGTTGAAGGTTGGACTATGCTCCGGCGGTAAGTTGTAAATGTTTTAGCATGAAAATAAGAGTGTTCAATGCTCGATAGAACTCAAATAAATGATGTTTAAGATATCTTGATGAGATGATCGATATATGGGTATTTTCTCAATTGATGTGTCTGAACAAGTCAAGATGGCTGATTGAACATGTACGAACGAACGAGCTATGTTTAGTGGGTGATATAACCTTGTTGAAAAATTGAATAAACCACAAAACCGAGCAAAAAATGTAAATGAGACTGGAGTTCTCCCTTATGATTTGTCGTGAGCGTGTCAAAATCACGATGCATACGATTGAAGATATACGACCATGACACAAGGATCGTTCAACTATTCCCGCTATTTAAAACAAAATAAAAAACAGAGAAGCTCAACATCGACCTTTAACTCTACCCCTTCCAATAAATTTATTTATTTTCTTCCAAAAAAACACGTGCATCACGTGACCTTTGGAATATTCGGTGCCTCGTTCCAATTTTGTATTGTGATGCTTTTTTTTTCTTTTTTTTTCCATTTATTTATCTTCAGATTTAGAAGTTTGTATTTATCATTATTATCATTTATTTATTTTCTGGAAATAATAATAAACAATAGAGAGAATGATTTTGTTAGCTATTAGAGTACAGGTGGAAAAAGATGATTGGAGAAACGTTTGACCATGTAAAAGTGATTATAGCCGTCCGATCAAACAGATTTCCAATCAGCCCTGAGCTGGCGTGGTTTTAGCTATTAAATTTTGTATATAAAATAATGATTGAAGAAGAAAACAACTCACCCATTAACCATGGCCTCCAAATCTCCCCTCTTCCTCTCCCTCTCCCTTCTCCTTTCCCTCTCCGTCGTCGCTCTCTCCGATGTATTTTCTCTCTCCAATTTCTCCTCCATTTTAGCGATTAGAACCTAAAATGATTGACCAACATTTCCGATTTGTTTGATGCAGGATCCAGATTGCGTGTACACGGTGTATGTCAGGACCGGCTCCATCCTCAAAGCAGGGACGGACTCGGTGATTAGCGCGACGCTCTACACCGCCAATGGCGACGGAATCCTCATCAAAGATCTGGAGAAATGGGGCGGCTTAATGGGACCTGATTACAACTACTTCGAGAGGGGCAATCTCGACATTTTCAGCGGAAGAGGACCATGCCTGAGCGCACCCGTGTGTTCCTTGAATCTGACCTCCGACGGATCGGGTCCGCACCATGGCTGGTACTGCAACTACTTTGAGGTGACCACAACGGGTGTCCACAGGCCCTGCGATCAAGCCCAGTTCACGGTGGAACAGTGGTTAGCCCTCGATACATCGCCCTATGTGTTGACCGCCATTCGGAATAACTGCCCCAAGGAATCGATTGGAAGCCGCCGTGATCCAACCCGATCGGGTCCCCTGAGGTTGAAGCAGGTCATATGAGATTCAATCGTATTGTGGAATAAGGAAGCGGAAGAGTGTGCCCTTCTGATGTTGGTGTGTAAAAGTTGAATCGAGAGCAGTGCCTTGCTTTTTAGCTTTACTTTATGATTCGATCCATTATTGTGGGTTTGGTATGGTGTGGGTCACGAATCATGAATGCCTTTGCAATGCCAAAAGGACAAAAAATTATAATACCCCATTTTATTTCAGAACCCAATTAAAACTTGGTGTCGGCAACATAATGGGGAAAAAATATCTTTTGATTCATAGTCTTTGCTTTATGATTTAGAACAATCACCAACACTCAATCAATCTATGGATAATAAGATCGCGTAATGCGTTAATCGATTAGACCATAGTTTAGATGATGAAGATACGAAGATAAATTAAGTCGAACATGAAAACAATCTATTATCGATGCTGTTTTCACGATCTCGAGCCTTAAAAAATCTCTCTCTAAGCTCCAAAGTTCTTCTCCAAACTCTCATCAGACTCGCATTATCCTCCATTTTCATGGGAAGATTGTGATTTGGGCTGAATGAGAGGTGGATCGTTGATGGGCTAAGGGGTTTTTATATTTTACATGGTCTGGACTTCATTTTTGTCGTGTGTACAAATTGTTTTGTAGTTATATGGGCCGGCTTTGCTATGTATACCGACCAGTTCTTTTGTTAAAAAAGTGACTTCTTTTTGTGTTTTATTTTACACTTTAATTGGTTATTAATTCATTTAACGTCTTTTAAAATTCACTTAAGGTATCTTCCGCTATGGACTTTGATCTTGACTCATAAATAAAAGACTTTGAATTTGACTCGTAAATAAAGAACTGAATTCCATTCTACTTTGTTTCCTTCTAAATTTAATCATTCATTTATTAAACACAGGAATTAAAACAAAAAAACTCAAATTAATATTTTACCCGCCAATGTAAATTACTGTACTGTAAAAAAAAAAATATAGGGGGGTAAAGCAACCTAATCCAATCCAGTCCAAGTTTGACCCAATTGAAGACCAAAGACTCCAACTGCATCTGCCTTCTCCCTGTCCTGACACGTCAACTCAATCTTATTAATTCAACCGATCAGATGATATACGCCAAAGAATTAGTAGTGGTCCGTCCACCACCTTAATTTTTTTCTTTTTCTCTCTTTTTTCACCAGGAAAAATACGACTTGTCGGGTAGAATAAGGATCAAAGAAATAGAAACTTAATGACTCACATGATGAAATTAATAATAATATTATCAAAATAATGTGAAAGTACAAAAATGGAGTTGGGATAGGTGGGTAACAGCATGACGTGGCGGTGATTTTCTTGACTTTTTGCAATACTCAACCAACCTTTTTGCATTTTTCTCTACTTTGGTTGCCCTTTTATGTGTAATTAAATATTACAATATTTCTTTGTTATTATTATTTATGCTTATAAATTTATAAATTCAGGATCATTCTCTTAATTACTGAACAGAGGCATTTACTTTGACTCTGGGATTGTAGCATCTTGAGTCCCCACTTTCATCGGTTTTCGTGGAGCAAATCTACAAACACAAGCAACCTCTCTTTTTCACAACAAACCCCTCTCTCTCTCTCTCTCCCAATTAAAATAAACGCACTCTTTCTCTCTCCCAATTCCCCCATCTTCTTCTTTCTCCAAAAACCCTAACCCCATACGAACTTCTGAGGTTCAGGAGTGGAGCTTCCACTTCACCGGTCCACCTCCGCCACCAACCATATCGTGGGTTGTTGTTGGATCGTACCTTCCGGTGGCTTTTGAGATTGTGAGTACAGCACAAGAAGCGGCCGCAGCAGCACATCATTTTCTGCACCCGTGATATATATATATGTGTGTGTGTGTGTTTAATCATGGATTCTGGGAGTAGTGGGAGTGTACAAAGCTCAAGCGGTGCTGAAGATGAGTATGATTCACGCGCGGAGGGTTTCTTAAACTATCCGTCACTGCATGTCGGCCCCATCCCTAAGCCTAACCCATCACCACCACCATCCCTACATTCCTCCTCCTTCGACCCTTTCTCTACCTTCCTCGATCCTCCACCTTCCCGATTATCCCCAAATTCCCTTCTCAATCTCCACCCTTCCTGGCCCACTAACCCGAGATCCGACCACAACCCGATCCAATATCCAGCGTCCATGACCACCGCGCCCGATATTCAATTGCAACCCCCAACCCAAGTCGTTCACAGCAACAACAATAACAATACTGCCACCAACAGCAACGCCACCGTTCGTAACCCGAGGAAGCGAACTCGAGCCTCGAGGCGAGCTCCGACCACCGTTCTGACCACAGATACCACCAATTTCCGAGCCATGGTCCAGGAATTCACTGGGATCCCTGCACCACCCTTCCAGCCGGCCTCCTCCTCCTCCTTCCCTAGAGCCCGGCTTGATCTTTTTGCCGGCGCCTCCACTTCCTCCCCACCGTACCTACTCCGTCCATATCCCCAAAAGCTATCCCCCTTTCCTTCAACTAATTCCCTTTTTTCTCCCTCCTCCATTTTCAATCTCCCGCCCCCACCTTCACCACTCCAACAACCCAACATTAACCTCCTCCGCTCCCACCTCCATCCTAATCCGCTGCATCTGCCTCTCCCAGATGACTTCCTTTCTGGGATCGTAAGAGACGGCGGTGGGAATAATGTTCCGGCAAATTGGGGCAGTGGCACCGTCGACGGAGGTGTAGGAGGAAGACCGTCCGATCAAGATCTAGTTGGGTCTACCAATGTGACGAGTAGGAGTGAAGGTATGGTCGAGCCTTGGATTTGTTCTTCAGATTAATTAGTTGTTGTTTTATATACAACAAACACAACCATACTAAGCTGCTTAGACCTATAATTAACATAAACACTCATCCTATGTACATAATAACATTTCATTTCCATTTTGGGATTTGGTTTTGTTTATTACTTTTTGTGTATTTCTCTAATTTCCTGTCGGAGGCATGTTGGGTGAGAATCCCACATCGATTAACTTGGAGATTAACTTGGAGAATGATTATAGATTGATAATTGGGGAATGCTAGATGAAAGTAATATAAACGAAGTTTGGGTAAAGTTGATACATCCAAAACCATCCTCGTACCATGTCCTCCACAATGTGGAAATTGCATGTACCTACTACTCTCAGTAATGGTTTAGTCGTAGTGTGCAGTAGGCAGGCAAGCGGCATGGCCTCTCATCCTTGTCTTCTTGCTTGCATCTCTCTCTGACTCAGTGTTCCATAATTTAGGAGAGAATGGAGGCGAGATTTGAGGAATGTGAAGCCGCCATGATCTGTCAGGGATCTTTAAACCCCCGGTGCCCCCCCTAATTAATGACTCTTCAAAGTACATAAATTCATGCAACATATTTAGGTTTCCTCTATTTTTTTACTTTTCCTTGATGCCCTCTAGTTTTATGACGAAAAGCACTGCCCTTTCGCTGTCGAGCCTGAAAAAATTAACAAACTTCATTACTACTTTTTTAAATCATGTTTAGATACGCCGGTGATGTGATATAAAATTCAGTAAACAATCTATATGTATATATATTGGTCGTGCATGCAATTATTTATATGAAAAGTAAAAAAAAAAGAAGTGGCATTGGGATCCTAGACATGGGAATTGGTGATGCAGAAGCACCAATTTCGAAGATGGTGTGTGTGTGTGCAGGAAATGGGTTCTTTTTTTTTAAATTTAATTTCTTTGATTGGACTGTCCTTGTCCTTGTCGTTGTTGTTTAACACAATCATAAATGTTGTTCACCCTATGAATCTGGGCTTCAAATTTGCCGACGCTTTTGATTGGGATGAACAAATTTGTCTAATCCATGCATTCAATTTACTCGTTGCGTTACACATTAGTTTCTCTCTCGAATTCATATGAGTATCTCACTTTCACGAACTTTTGTTCATGCTATACACTAAATCTAAATTTAAACGAATTTGGTATTAGCGTTTGTGTTCAAATGTGGGCAAATTATGATTGGATAGAGAAATTAAGGTGTTTAGGAGGTGAAAAGGGAGGGGGGAGCTACAGAAGTAAAGATTCGAATATTTAAGGAGTAGGATCTGATTGTGATTGGATGCCATGGAAATGACTGCTTTCGGTGACTCATTCTCCATTTTGTTTTTTAAATTTAATTTATTTTATTTTATTTTATATGGATTTGGAAATCATTTTTCTTCCCCATGTGCTATATGTTTACACACCCAGTAACAGTGCAAGTAAATATTTTCGAACCAATTCCATGCCGACAGGACACACCAGATCCGACGTCGTTTTGAGGACGTGGTCCATCTCACCTTGACGTCATGGTTTCGTGGGGTTGGGGCCCACTTCGAGCGGGAAATCCACGTAAGGCTTCAGTAAAAAGCCGAGAGATACAATCACATGTTGCCGTTCTCAGGAATGGTCCCCCACGTGGATCTGCAAATTCAATCATGAGAGTTCAGTTCGCTAAATCCAGCCTCCCCCGGTTCGACTTATCCATTCTGGATTCTGCCTCTAACATACTGTTTGGGCCTCTCAATCTTATGGATGGCCCATTGTTGTCGACTTTCATTTGGGCTTTCGGCCCAGTCCAGTTTTATAAACACTCCATTACTGAAAATAGAGATAGAAAAAAAAAAAAAAAAAAGGAATTATAGAAAAGAGTCTCTCTGATTTAGAAAATCTCCAAGAATTTTGGAAATGTGTCCAAAAGTTCCAAAAGCAGATCGACAAGAAACATCTCCCAAACCTTCACCTCCTTCGATCTTCACCATTGTCATCTTCTTCATTTCATCCTTCCCATTCAAGTCACGTGGCAAGCACTCGCAGTTTCCCTGTCAAACTCAGCTCACCTCCTTCTCCGGCGCCGCTCCCCAACCCCTGCGGTGCCCATTTCCAGAATATCCTCTGTAAATTAGCGTTTCCAAGATGAAATCTGAAGCACTGACTTTAATGTTGATCAATTTGGCCGCTGTTATGGAGAAGGCCGACGAATCCTTGTTGCCCGGAGTCTATAAAGAAGTTGGGGCGGTTCTGCACACCGATCCCGCTGGGTTGGGTTCCCTAACCCTCTTCAGATCTATTGTGCAGTCCTCTTGTTACCCTTTAGCTGCTTACTTAGCTGTGCATCACAACCGTGCCCATATCATTGTTCTTGGTGCTTTTCTCTGGGCCGCTGCCACTTTCCTCGTTGCCCTTTCCTCCACATTCTTACAGGTTCGTCTTTCTCGATTCATCTCCAATCAAAGTCATATATATCTGTGATTTTCATTACTGGTGATTTAAAGTGGCATTGGAGTGATAGATGACCTTATATTCCTATAGTAATTTGATAATCATAATTAGGTCGCAATTTCCAGAGGTTTAAATGGTATTGGTCTTGCCATAGTGATACCAGCCATCCAGTCCCTAGTGGCCGACTCCATTGATGATAGTAACCGTGGCTTAGCTTTTGGATGGCTACAACTAACAGGAAATCTTGGTTCCATTATTGGTGGGCTTTGTTCTGTATTATTAGCCTCCACATCTTTCTTAGGGATCCCAGGATGGAGAATTGCCTTCCATCTCGTTGGACTGATGAGCGTCGTTCTTGGTGTACTAGTATGGGTTTTTGCAAATGATCCACGCTATTCTGTGATTGATGGAAGAGTTAAGGATCAATCAAGGAAGCCATTGTGGTCAGAATTGAAGGATCTTGTTAAAGAATCAAAGTCAGTTTTAGGGATCCAATCTTTTCAGATAATTGTTGCTCAGGGTGTTGCTGGTTCATTTCCTTGGTCGGCTTTGTCATTTGCTCCTATGTGGCTTGAACTTGTGGGGTTTTCTCATGAGAAAACAGGGTTTCTATGGGCTCTTTTTATAATTGCTGGCTCATTGGGTGGCCTTTTTGGAGGAAGAATGGGGGATATACTATCAAAGCGCTTTCCTAATTCAGGAAGAATTGTTCTATCTCAGATAAGCTCAGGTTCTGCCATTCCTCTTGCTGCAATTTTGCTCCTGGTTTTGCCAGATGATCCATCCACTGGATTCTTGCATGGACTGGTTTTGTTCATAATGGGTTTTAGCATGTCGTGGAATGGACCAGCAACTAACAAGTATGTGTCTTCATCACCTAATGTACTTACCGTTCTTATGAGATCCCACATCGGTTGGAGAGCGGAATGAAGCATTCCCTATAAAAGTGTGTAAACCTCTTCCTAGTGGGCGCGTTTTAAAACCTTGAAGGAAAGCCAAAAGAGGACAATATTTACTAGCGGTGAGTTAGGGCTGCTAGAAATGGTATCAGAGCTAGACACCGAGCGGTGTGCCAACGAGGACGTTGGGCCCTCAAGAGGGTAGATTGTGAGATCTCACATCGGTTGGAGAGGAGAATGAAACATTCCTTATAAGGGTGTGAAAACCTCTTCCTAGTGGATACGTTTTAAAACCTTAAGAGGAAGTACAAAGAAGACAATATTTGCTACCGATGGGATTTGGTTGTTACAAATGATATCAAAGCTAGACACTGGACGATGTGCCAACGAGGATGAGGGGAGTGGATTGTGAGTTCCCACATCAATGGGAGAGGGGGACGAAGCATTCTTTATAAGGGTGTGGAAACCTCTGTCTAGTGGACACGTTTTAAAACCTTGAAGAAAAGCCGGGAAGGGAAAACCCATATGATATGAATTCTTAATTTTACCTTGAATCATTATTGGAATATACAGCCCAATATTTGCTGAGATAGTCCCAGAGAAGTCGCGCACGAGTATTTACGCTATGGATCGATCATTTGAGTCGGTTCTGTCGTCGTTTGCTCCTTCTGTTGTAGGAGTTCTGGCACAGCATGTTTATGGATATAAACCAGTAGCAAGAGGATCCTCTGATTCTGCCCAGATTGAAAGTGATAGAGAGAATGCGAAATCACTAGCCAGAGCACTCTACACAGCCATTGGTATTCCGATGTTGGTGTGCTGCTTCATCTACTCTTTCCTGCATCGTTCATATCCAAGAGACCGAGAGCGAGCTAGAATGCAGGCCTTGATAGAGTCTGAAATGCTGCATATGGAGGCATGCTGTTCACCTCTGTACAGGCGAGAAAATGTGTTTCAGATTTCAGTGGGAAAAGATGATGATGAGGATCAAACAGAGATTGATCTAATCTATGGAATTGAAGACAGTCTTGATTTCAATGATGACAATGATGAAAAGCATCATCTTCACAGTTTCTGATTCAAAAATGTAGATCAACATGATTGGACGCAGTACTTTGGTGCAGATTTTTTTAGTACATCTTCTTTCAAACTCTATACTAAACATTATTCTTTTGTAATGCTTCAGCCATTGTTAACCACAACCTAGCTAATTAAGGGAAAGATCATAGTTGATACAAGATTTTTTGGTTTCAGTAGAATTCCAGAACAAGATGAGACATGTTTGATAGGCTGTATGGCACGAGTATTGTTATGTGAAAGGGCTCTATTCCGAAATAGCTTTCCCCTATCTTTTTCATTTAAAGTAAAACAGGTAACAACGAGGCAGTGTCTTCATTTACAAGTGCACATGGAAATGATTCACATTTGAAGTCCCCTCTTTTTCCTTTCCACTTTTTGCTCCCTTTCACATTCAAATTCAAACTCCCTTTTTAGGAATGTCTCATTTTTAGGAATGTCTCATTCCCTTCTCCAACCAATATATGAACGTCCGTTGAGACCTCTCTGAATGTAAGGGACGGTGTTCAGAGCGTCGAAAAGAAGAGAATGGTTGGTGGGAGAGAAGAGGTTAAGAGGGCAGCAATATGCCTATCAATTGTCAACAAAATGGTCTTACGACTCACCTCCACACCTGGCTGCCACTCACCATTCCAACGCCTAACATCTTCGTCCTTATTCACATAGTCAAACTACGAGTCAATCCCAAATTATTCTCTCTTATCTTCAACACTCCCTACAAATTCCAATGAATATTTTACACTTTTCAAAGAACAACGAATCGCAGAACAATAGTGTAAAATAATTGGTATAAATTTGTGAAAAGAGATGAGCAAAGATGGCAAGGGGCTTCCAAAATAATTGATGAGGGAAAGAGGTTGGAGCAAGCCAGCCACCAGACAAGTGAAAACGCGTAGACTAAAAGCGCTTCCCCTGCTTTTCTTCGCTCCATTGCATGTGACGCTGACCTATTTAAAAAAAAATCTATTCCTTCTACTTCACTCACTCTTCATATTCAGTGCTGAACAAGATCTCAACCCAGAGTTCAGTAATGGCTACGCTTGTGAATTTCAGACCCACAAAGGTATTTTTGCTCTTTCTTGTTCTCATCCTTTTTGCTGCGGCGTCGCTGTTGTGTGTGCGCGCCGAATCTGAATCTCGAAATGGAGAATTGGTTCGAAGAGGAAGAAGAATTTTGGAGTCGGCGGAAGAAGAGGAGGTGCCGAAGAACAAGAAGAACTCCAGCGATGCCTTATCCACCAAATCCTTAAAAAACCAGACAAAGCTCATTAAGAATGGTTTGTCGACGAAGAACAAAACCATTGTTGGTAAAGCTACGAATTCCACAAAATTGGCATCCGCCGGCATCCTTCCCAAAGTTGGGCTCATGAAGCTCAATTCCACCTCGAAATCCACTAATTCTACCAAAACCACTTCATTCTCTGCCAAGAAATCCTCAGATCTACTCAAATTAAGCACACCCAAGAACAAAACGACAACGAAACAATCCCAAACCCATTTGGACAAACCAAACAAGGACCAGAAAATTCAGAAACAGAGTCGGGAGAAGCCCAAGAAACAAGCACAGGAGAAACCCAGTTGGATCGACGAAGATGAAGAGGACGATTTCGTTTCACAATTCCAAGATCTACCCATGAAAATTCATAAAAATTTGATCCCAGACCTGGCGAGAATCTCCACCAGTTCCAAGGCTTACATTACCAAAGCCAACAAACAAATGACAATGGGATTCAAACCCATCGTGGGCAACAAGTACGCCTCCAGCATCGCTACCTTAACCTCCTTCGCCTTCATATTGATTCCGCTAATCCTGGTGAGTCTTTTATTCAATCGAATCAAGGCTTATTTCTCACTCCAAAAGCTTCTCATATTCATCCAAGTCTACCTCTCAATCTACTTCGGCATCCTCTGCTTATCCTCGCTGGTCACTGGCCTCGAGCCCCTCAAATTCTTCTACTCCACCGCGCAATCCACGTACATGGGTTTACAGGTGATGCAAACCCTTGGATACATCTTGTATCTGCTGCTGCTCGTGATGTACCTGGTGCTGGTGTTCTCCACCGATTGTGGGCTCGGGTCGAGGATATTGGGCCTGGCCCAGACCATGGTGGGGTATGCTGTCGGGCTGCATTACTATGTAGCGGTATTCCACAGGATGGTTCTACACCAGCCACCGAGAACGAACTGGAAAATTCATGGGATTTACGCCACGTGTTTTCTGGTGATTAGTGTGTTCGCTGGTGCGGAGAGGAGGAAGAAGGCTTACTTGGAAGAAGACGGAGGGGAGGGGAAGAAAAGTTGAATAATTAATTTCAATAATAATCTTTTTTTTTTTTAATTTAGTTTTTGAATTTGCATTGATTGGAGCATTGGTGGTGTTGTAAACGGGAAATTAAAGATGGTTATTTAATAATTTATTAAAATTGATAAGATGTTAAATTTATATATATACTAACTATTTTTATTTATAAAAAAAAAACATTAATTTTAAATTAATATTTAATATAAAAAATATTATATTATAAAGAATTAAAAAAAAAACATTAAGCAATAAAACAAAGAATTATTCAATACTTCATATTAGAAAAAAGAGATGATGATAAGAAGAATGAAGAATTGGGTCAAATTTAAAGGCCCAAATGAGATGGAGGAGTGAACAATTTAACGGCCCATATAAAGGGAGTAGGCCCAAATGGGTCCATGCATTGCTCGGTTTGGTTGCTCTTGGCGCTTGCTCCCGGTGAAAGGGAAACAGAGCCAGGCTCGGCCATTGGTCCCCCAACTCCGCCCAAACTCTGTTGCTGCGCATTTTGAGATTGCATGAAAGCGACATGGCTTCAACATCTCTTTTTCTTTTACAAAGAAACCATTGAGCCATTGAGCCACTGAGGTTTGTCCACCAACCCAAACCCACTCCACTCCACTCGATTGAGCCGCCGATTATTTATAGAATATATCTTAATAATGTTGTTCCTTTATAGTATATTTTATTTTATTTTTAATATTTAATTAATTTATATTTTATCTATCGGTAGATATTATTTCTTATTTTTAACAAGTTATTATATTTTCATCATTGACAGTAACAAAATCTCTTCAAAATGTAACAATTATGGTCATTTATGTTGGAAGAAATAATTCAATTAATTTATTTTCAGTAATGTGAAATAGTAAATAAGTGCTATAAATAATGGACGAACAGGCACTGCCCTGACACCAAGTACTTCCGTTGCTTCTTTTTCGCATTCAAGTTTTGGAACATTAGAGGGGTATTTACGTAATATCAGCTCCCCCACAGATTCGAAAACGGTAAAGCAAAATGGAAAAACCGTAATAATAGCCCATCTAATTTTCGCAAAATTACCCTTTTGCAACATTATTCTCACGCGCTTTTTCTCGCGTTTGTCTCGTAACACACCACTCTCTCACGTGTGACATCACAACTGTACGTCACATTCCACGTTGCTGCGCGTGGGCCTTTTTCTTTGTGGTTTGTAGAAATTAAAACTTTTTAGCAGCGACAGCGCTTAGCTACTACAATGCGAGATCTTCTTCATTGTCGGATTCCAAACGCTGAAACGCCGTCGTATCGCCAACCACCGTCTTCCTCCCGTCCTCATTTTTGTAGCAGAGAGCTCTGAATCAAAGCAAAAAACATTTGCCTGTATACCTAAGCCAACCACAGCTATTCTTGTAGCAGAGAGCTCTGATTGTCGGATTACCAGCTTACCATAAGCAGCTTTTTGTCTGTTTTTCTGCTCCGAGGTATCTCCGTCGAACCTCTTATTTCTTTGTTTTCTAATTATGCTTCCTCAAAGTCTGGAAAATACACAGTATGTTCGAATCCTAGTTGCTTCTTTATTTTCGTTTTTCAGAATTTTTTTTGTCTGGGCTTGGTCCTTTCGGTCATGAGTTTTAATTTTTGACGTTGTTCATAGCCGTCGCCTTCAGATCTGTGTACTCAATACAAGAGTAATTTATTTTCTCAATTTTCGGGTCAATTTCACTCTTCTTTTTAGTGCAATGAATTTTCTTTTATTGTTGGAAAGTAACGTGACCCAATTCTTCATTGATCTGGAAAGCTGCCTGACTTGTGATGGTGTCTTATCTTGATGCCTCGTTTTGAGAAGTTGGGGTTTTGATTGAATGTACATTTCTAATTTCCGTGTCAATCCATTTGAGTTATACTTTTTGAATGCTCAGTGTTTTTGAAGTTTAACTCGATATAGTTCTACATGGATAGCCTTAGACAGCTACAGGGTTGCTTACTTATTGGAATTCATATCAGCAAGTTTGTGCAAATATAGCAGAAATCTATGTTGTCTCGATATAGTTCTACAAAGTTTTAAAACGTGTCTGCTAGGGAGAGTTTTTCACACCCTTATAAGTAATGTTTTGTTCCCCTCTTCAACCAATGTGAGATCTCACAATCCATCACTTTTGGAGCCTAACGTTCTCGCTAGCACATCGCCTATTGTCTTACTCTGATACCATTTGTAACAGCCCAAACCCACCGCTAACATATATTGTCCTCTTTGGGCTTTCCCTTTCGAGCTTCCCTTCAAAGTTTTAAAACATGTCTGTTAGGGAGAGGTTTCACACCCTTATAAGGAATGTTTCGTTCCTCTCTCCAACCAATGTGTGATCTCACAATCCACCCCACTTAGGGCCCAGCATCCTTGCTGGCACATCACCTATCTTTGGGCTTTCTCTTTCGGGCTTCCCTTCAAGATTTTAAAATGCGTCTACTAGGGAGAGGTTTCCACACCCTTATATGAATATTGTATGAATATTGAAAGTTCATGCAGACACTTGGTAAGATGCATTCTGCCCAAGAGTAAAGCAGAAAATCGGGTTGTTGCAAAAACATAAAAGACATGGAAATGGATTGTCTGTCTCATATTCTGCTAACTTCTTAATTTACTTGCAGTTTTGGTGAATTCATTTGATTCAGCTCAGTAATGAGACTTAACTAGACGTGATTATGGAAAAAGTATCTTCGGACTGTCCTTATCCAGGATGTTTCTTTTGTGTCATGAAAGAAGGAAATCCTAGTAAGCGCAGAGCTAGTATCTTGAAATTCTTCAGAGAACTTCCTTCTCAAGATGATGATGGTCAAGTTCTCCCTATTAGTGGCCTTTGGAACACAGCAATGGCACATCCGAACGATCCCGAATTTATCGAATTGGGGATATTCAAATGTATGGCTGCACTTATATGGAAGGGACTGAAGAATCGCCACTGGCTTTCTCACGACCAAAACATTTACATTCCGTATTACGCTGCACATATCATCGGATCCTACACGATGAACATGGAGGAGTTTGCTGAAAGTGCTGTTCATGCTGGGGTGATTCCTCCATTAGTTGAACTTCTGAGGGGAAGACTAACTTGGGTTGAGCAGAGGGTAGCTGTTCGTGCCCTCGGACATCTGGCTACGTATGCAAGTACTTTTCCTGCTGTGGCTAGTCACGTCGAAATACTCGAGCTATCGATTCAGCTAGCAATGAGTTCTCTTGAAATTGTTTATACTCACTTTTATCAGTATGTGGACAGAAGGCTTAGTTATCACTGTGATCTGCTTACTCGTGGAATGGGTGGGGGCGAGATGGAATCAAGGAAGGCAGAGGAATGGGCCAGCCAGTTACAGTGTTGGTCCTTACAACTTATCAATTGCTTTGCATTCAAACCCGAGTTTCTTTCGACTATATGCAAGCCCGAATTTGTAGTAAAGCTTCCTGGCATGTGGGGCGGTCTCGTTAACGAAAATTCACCTGCTGGTATCGGTTTATTGAGAACAATCTGCCATCATAAACTCGGTAGGGGACCTGTTGCTAGCTGCCCCAGTATTGTCGAAGCGTTATGTAATATCGCCCGCTCTTCAGACGATTGGCAGTCTATGGCTATTGACTGTCTCATGTGGTTGCTTCAGGATTCAAGTACAAGTCATAAGGTTGATATTCTTCTCTGATTGCTTTTCAAATGTAAAGATCTTCAATTATATATCGTTGAAGTTTTTTGGGACGAGCATGTTTAACTGCGACATTGTATTCCCAGGTGATCGACAAAGCTGCCCCTGCGCTTCTGGATCTTGCTGAGATATCATCTCTAGGCGATCACCGGAGATTGGGGGAGTCCATAATTGATATTCTTCAGGAATGCGTCGAATCACAAGGGGCTGGACGCAATTCGATCAGCAGTCGTACGAAGGAACAGATAGAAGAGCTATTAAATTCAAGGCAGAGACTCGAGTGGGAAAAGAACATGCCGAAAGAGGATCTCCGAATCAAACAGGCTGCTGCGCTCGTAATCAAGCTTGAAGGAAATTCCATGTTTTCATCAGGAAATATATCTGCAGCTGCATTTAAATACTCGGAAGCGCTAGCATTGTGTCCGATGAGATCGAAAAAGGAACGAGTCGTTCTTTTCAGTAACCGTGCTCAATGTTATCTTCTGTTGCAGCAGCCAATGGCTGCCATCAGTGATGCCACACGTGCTCTTTGTCTTCACAACCCCATAAACCGTCATGCCAAAAGTCTTTGGAGAAGAGCTCAGGCATATGATATGCTTGGGCTGGCTAAAGAAAGCTTGTTGGATGCCATTTTGTTCATAAATGAGTGCTCTCAGTCCAATGACCCCGACCTTTCATTAAGGCAAAACAAGGTTCCTGACTACGCCGAGCGACTCGTTAAGAAGCAGATGCGTGCATCTTGGTTATTCAGGGAGGCAGCCATTAAACATGGCAATGTCCAATGTGAAGATGGTGCTGCTGGTGATGTCTATGGTAGGGAGACTGATGATTCTGAATGGGAGACAGCCAGTGAAAGCGATATCGGAAACGATGGAAGGGACGAAATGGGAGATGACGAAGAAGATGACGACGACGACGACGATTGCGAACAGAGATGTAGCCATCTTGAGTAGAAAGAGTGTCATTATTATGAATCACGTGTTATTTATTTTTGTACATACACAATTCACAGTGTTCTTTATTTTTGAACTGCAAATTCCAACTTTTCATTCATAATGGCTCTTTGAATTGGTTTTATGGAAATTCCAAATTAAGTGTAAAAACAAGACCATATTCATATTCTATAAAGACATGTCGGCGCCGCGCGCCATGCGCTTGGACAGTGCGGCAAGCGCAACATCAACAGCATCCATGAGCTCAAAATCAGTGGCATTTGGATGCTTATACGTCACATTCGGGATCAATTTCACGACCCTTTCCCTCATTTTCTTCACTTTTTCTCTGGGTATCTTCAAAAGCTCTTCTTCAATTCTCATCCTCCCATCCCCTTTTTCATCAATATGCACAGAATAATCCGTCGCCGTCGCCGGCAGATACCATAAATACTGCGTGTACGCAGTGTGCGGCGAGAAGAACACCGGAATGCAGCCCGCCAATATAGAATCGAACGTCGACCGCCGAGTGAACGAGTCCCCCGGTGCCTGCAGGCAGAATTCCGATTGGCTCATTATTTTCAAGACCTGGGCTGGGTCGTAACACAGGTCGGCCTGCTCCCCCCGGCAATTAATGAGTCTACATTTGGACGACATGTCGCATTGTCTAATGATGTCGTCCCGTATGGCGGCTTTCTCTAACCCCTTACGTGGGGCCCCGATGAATGTAAAGAGATGGGGTCGGTTCGATTGCGTCATTTTATTCTGCCACGTCACCATCTCTGCCGACGTGTACGGGTGGAAATAAGAAGCGTAAGGGATACCGAATTGGTTCGACCCGGCCCATGGATTTCGCTCCACGGTCAGCACCGACATGTTTTGAACAGCGTTAAGATTCAACAAACAATTCGCCCCGAAATCCGGCCCATTTGCATTACTCCTCATGAAATCCCAAGCTGTTCTACCGAGTGCAAGGAAATGATCCCGTCCGTTATTCTTCCACCACGTGGGCTGCGCTTGAACATAGTCAACTAATCTAACGGCAAGCGCATCCCGCTCCGTGATATTCGGTTCGCGAAACTTGCTAGAGGCGTGGAGCCCACCATAGAATGGGACGTAGAACAATTTAGCAACATGGGGATCGCGTGTGCGACACGGGTGATTCTCCATACGCGCGTGGAAGATCATCTCCGCTATGAACTGATGGGTGGCGAACCAACTATTGTCAGAGGAGGAAAGTCGGCGGCCAAGGCCGCGATTTTCGACATGGGGACACATGTCGGTATAGACGCTGAGACGGTGGCAGTCTTGGAGAAGGGCCGTGTTGAACTCGGCCGGCAAGTCGTAGACGTAGACATATGGGCCGCCGGAGCAAGTGGGGCGCAAATGTGGTGTCCGATTGGGGGAATTTCGAGTTTGTCGATGAAAATCATTGGGTTTCGTGTGTATCGTGGTCGGGAAACAAATGTAGAGCAGGAGAAACCAAAGAAGAAGGGAAAGAACAAGAAAAGAATTGTAAGTGAGATAAGGGTTGAGAAGGGGCTTTTTATTTTTGGAGCTTCTGTCTCTGTCAAAAGAACAAGGAATTGGAGCTGTTTGTTTCCTGAGAAACATGGAGAAAAATTCTGGAAACATGATGATGAAGAACACCCACAATTTGGTCTGAAACAGAGGAGGAAGAGGAAGCAAGAGATTTCATGCAAAAAGAAAAGGAAAAGGAAAAGGAAAATTTATGCACGCATAAAGTGGGAATTTAATTCATCAAGCATACAATAATACATATTATAATGTTATTGTATTTCTTATAAATAAAATAAAATAAAATAAAATAAAATAAATGATGATACCTACCTTATATTAAAATAATTTTGGTAGCTAGCAACCTTGCATACGGCACATACGACACGAGGGAATTTACAAATCCCATTGGTACATATGTTTTGAAGACAGACAGCTTGAAATATAGAAATAATTGAAGAAATTAGGAACCTCGCATGCGCTCTTTCTCCATTTGCGTTTTAATTAAATGTCAAACAATTTGTTAATAATATATAATGTATGTTTGTTGTTATTCCACGATGCCATGTGGAGAGGTGAGCTGGCAGTACAAAATTAGGGAGTAACAACTCAAATTAGTGCCTTTAATTTGATGCTTAAGCTTGGTTAATTAAGGTCAATAATGTGTTATTTTATTAAGCTGTTGAAAGTCAAACTTAGAATTGCAGAAGTCAAGATCCCTACCGACACTATTGGTTACTTTGGTTGGCGCTCTCTTATTTTGCTGCCTCCCAATAATTTTATTACGTAAATATAAACTAATTTAGAATTTTTAGGAGATATAATTAACATGTTAATGTGTAAAGCACGTTTAAGAGAATTATTAGTATTTTCTCCTATTAGATTTACACTTTATTTAAGCACCATGGAGTTATAGTGTTTCTTGATATTTCGATCCAGACTCACAATAAGTGGATCTAAGTCGGTCAAAAGAAAGATTTTGTAACTGCCCAAGCGATTGTGAGATCCCACATCGGTTGTAGAGGGGAATGAAACATTTCTCAGTGGAAATCTCTCCCTAGCATATGTGTTCTAAAACCCGTGAGAATGATGATGATATGTATTGGGCCAAAATTGACCATATTTGATAACGGTGGGTTTGAGCTATTACAGATGCTAGGTTAGCCGAAAGATGGTTATCGGTTTAAAGACGCAAGGTACCCCTATTTTTTCAAGGTAAGAAGGGATAGAGAAAGTATCTCGAGCCAATTGTTTGAGTACTAGACGCTACGACACTGAAGTAATCCATGCCATACTTCTAGGAAAAGCTCAAACGACCTTCAACAAAAGGGTACCTGTACCCGAAACCGACATAGGTGGGTAGGTAAAGAATACTCAGGGGCGCGAGACAACTCTCTCTATATAGAGAGGGGGAACAAAACATTCCTTATGAAAACTTTTTTTTTAAAACTATGACGTTGACGGCGATAGGTAATAGGCCAAAACGGACAATATCTACCGGTAAGCTTGAGCGGGTATGGTGGTAGTTTTTGGAAGTTTGATATTAAGTTTTATTCTACCATTGTTGATAAGGTTCAAACCCTTAAATTTTTTGTTTTTCTAAATTACCCACGTGTTGCCCACCAATGGCTCCATCTCTTATCAGTTCATGGCTCGAAGATCAGATCTTAGGCAATCCCACTAAGGTATAATTAATGAATAAAGGTTGGAGAGGGAAGAGGGGGAAGGCATCTGAACCATCTATTGTGCACTTCCAAGTGTTTTGTTTAAGTGGGATTTTGTATGAGTTGAAGATCTTGATATGGATTCTTCTTTGCTGCAATTTAATCATTTATTCGTTACTCAAATTAAACCTTAATTTGGTGGATGTGGTGAATCAAGCTATGTTCAAGCATCCAAAATGAATATGGAAGTAGCTTACTTTGTCTCTATAAATATTTTATGACCCCACTTTATCCTTCATCTTCACCATCTTCTCAATCCACGCCACTCAAAAACTCTCCCCTTTTTTCTTTGGTCAGATACCATCTTTCTGCATGAAACAACAAGAGGGTTCGCCTGAATCCAGACCCTCAAACAAGTAAACGTCGTGTTTGAGCTCGGGCGAGCCAAAATCTAGCCTGTTTTTGGTAGAGTTTTGAGGTCTCTATTGAGAGTGAGTCCTTCCTGACTAATTTAGAGAATGACCATGAGTTTATAAGTATAGGAATACATCTTTGTTGGTATGAGATCTTTTGGAGAACTCCAAAACAAAGTCGTGAGAAGTTAGGCTCAAAGTAGACAATATCATAGAGAGTCGTGATTCCTAACCGTTTCAGCTTCTAGGTTGGGCTGAGATTCATTGGTTTGTGCTAATGAATTTGTTGTGGGGGTTGAGAGTGAGAGCTCCAGCAGAATTGGAAAAACAGAGTGGGAGTTTTTTGTGTGGATCATGAGGTCTTTGCCCTTGCTGCATGCTGCCATGGTGTTGTTGTAGAGCATGAAGAAACAGGCCATTCTTTTTTGTTTAATTTCTTTTCCCTTTGGGGCTTTGGGGATTATGAAGTGAGAGTTTCTCTAACTTTGTTGAGTTGTTGATATGTTACGTGTAATCGGAGGATTGGGAAGAACAATATTCCATCTTATACAAAATTTATTGGCTTTTACTTGCATATGGAGACTCTTTTCATATCTTTTCTTTTGCTCTCAATTTTGTTATATTATATTATGTCAATGAAACTGATTAATTTGGTCTCTAAATTTGAGATACCACGTCGGTTGGGGAGTGGAATGAAACATTAAATCTCTCTCTAATGAATGCATTTTAAAATCTTGAGGAGAAGCCTAGAAAGGAAAGCCCAAAGACGACAATAATTGCTCGGGGTGGATTTAAGCATTACAAATGGTATCAAAGCTAAAGAGCAGTTAGTGTGTCAGCGAGGACGTTGGGCCCTCAGGGGGTGGATTGTGGGATCTCTACATCGATTAGAGACAGGAACAAAACATTCGGGTGTGGAAACCTAAACTTCTCACATGTGGAGGTTTAAAACTTTAAGTGGAAGTCCGTGAGGGAAAGCGGGAAACACAAAAAGAGAAAACCCAAAACCCAAAACCCAAAAAAATAATATCTGAATGTAAAAAAAAAAAAAAAAACAATATCTACTCACAGCAAGCTTGGATTATTACACTACACTTTTAATATAGCTTAAAAGTTAGGCTACAAGCTAAAAGTTCCAATACTCTTTCATTTCATATTATTAAAGTCCTAAAAGAAAAGAAATTAAAAAAAGAGTGTAGTGATATGATCATTCATAACAATCTTGTTAGTAAACCCACCCACCGGCCACCATGCCCATTGTTGCATATCGAGTCGGCCGTTTTCTTAAATCCAGCCCTTCAAGCTTCCCAAAGGGCTTCTTCTCCTTTTTGTTTACTTCCACGAAGCTTCCCATTCCCAATTCCTCTTTAAATACAGATAAGGATGGGATAATATGGATTATGCTCAAACACACTCATTCTTTCTCAATGGATACCACTCAAAACTCCTCTTCTTTCAGCTGCGAAATTAGTATCCTACAAGCCATAAACTTAGAGTTCAAATCTCCAAAGAATCTCTTCCTTAAATACTATCTTTCTGCAGGTAACAACGAGAGGATTCGCCTCAACACCCAACAGATCTCCTCCAAATCCGACTTCATTTGGAACGAGTCTTTCTCATTGGAGTGTTTGGGTACGCAAGATTCTATCCACGGCCTCAAGCAATCAACCGTTGTCTTCGAGCTCCGGCAGGCCACCAAGACACTGCCTTTGCTGGGAAGAATTTTGGGGTCTCGGCTCCTAGGCAGGGGTGAGATCCCTTGGGAGCAAGTCTTTGGATCGCCGAACATGGAAATTGCTAAATGGGTGTGTTTGGTTCGTGAAGGATTGGGCCTCAAGCAACCGATGTTGAGAGTGTGGATGAGAGTGAGAGTTAATAAAATGGAAACGGAGATGAAGAGAAAGCGATGTGGGAAATGGAAATGGAAGGATGAGTGTGGATGCAATTCTAAGATGGATTATTGTGCGGATCATGACGTCTTTGCTCTTGCTGCCGCTATGGAATTCTTATAGCAAGCGCCTCACTACATGCATGCAAATTCATTAATTAGTGGCGCTTCCTTAATGTTTTTCTAGTTTTCTAATTACTTTAGGGAAATGTACAAAATATTGTATAATTATATCAATGATACGAAATATATATATAAAGATCTTGAAAAGAAAACCATTTTTTTAATCTTAAATCTTGATTAGACATATTTGTAGGAAAGATATTCTTTTTTATGTTTCAAGAATGCAAAATTAGCTTCTAGCAATATCTTTTAGCCCCACTCTTCATACTAAAAAAAGGACCCTGATAGAAGATGGATTTTTTTTCTATCTTGTATGTAGATTCGCGAGCAAGGAGCGAAACAGTTTTACCAAGTTGACGAGGGAAAAGAACGAATCAACTCAACCGAGAGGGTGAATTAATGGGTACGAGCCTATGAGAATCAACTCAACCGAGAAGGTGAATTAATGGGTACTAGCCTATGAGTTTTAATGATAGGGAATATTAAAGTCTATGATTATGGTTCAAAACTTCTTCTAAAATGGGAGTGATTGATATTAATTTGAGTGGAATTTTTTTTACATTTAAAAATAGTTATTTATATTTATATGAATTGTTTCTATATTTATCCCTTCATGTTGTATTTATAGTCATAATTATCTGAGCCGTTGAAAATTCCAACTGGAAGAAAAACCAAAATTTATTAAAAATCTGAGGTTTGATATTAAATTTGGTAGTGAAATCAGGGCCCAACATTGGGAAGAGGAGCACGTGTGAGTCAAGCGCGAGAGCCAGAAGTAGCATATATTATTATTATTAAAGCTAACTAATTTCAGGAAGGTTGTTGCATTTCAAATTCAAGATCTTCTCCTCTTCTATCGCTTCTTATTTTGAATTCCCTTCCTCCATTTCAAAATCAAAAAACCCATTTCAGTTCACAGATTCCCAGAAAATGGATAGAACCAAATCGTCTTCAAAATCTCGCCCATCCACCGCCGATCTGCTCACCTGGCCAGAGGTTTCCTCGCCGGAATCCTCCCCCGCTGTCTCTGCCTCCGCTTCTCGCTCCCATCAGGTTTAAATCCTTTCTGCTATGAACATTTTCTTTTTCTTTTTGGTTCTTTAGATTTAGGGCATCTTAGGGCATCTTGGTTTTTTGGT